TGTTCTGTAACCATCCCTACATAGTTGTTGGTCACTCTGGCTGTTAGCTGTTCTGTAACCATCCCTACATAGTTGTTAGTCACTCTGGCTGTTAGCTGTTCTGTAACCATCCCTACATAGTTATTGGTCGCTCTGGCTGTTAGCTGTTCTGTAACCATCCCTACATAGTTGTTAGTCACTCTGGCTGTTAGCTGTTCTGTAACCATCCCTACGTAGTTGTTAGTCACTCTGGCTGTTAGCTGTTCTGTAACCATCCCTACATAGTTATTGGTCACTCTGGCTGTTAGCTGTTCTGTAACCATCCCTACGTAGTTGTTGGTCACTCTGGCTGTTAGCTGTCCTGTAACCATCCCTACGTAGTTGTTAGTCACTCTGGCTGTTAGCTGTTCTGTAACCATCCCTACATAGTTGTTGGTCACTCTGGCTGTTAGCTGTCCTGTAACCATCCCTACGTAGTTGTTAGTCACTCTGGCTGTTAGCTGTTCTGTAACCATCCCTACATAGTTGTTGGTCACTCTGGCTGTTAGCTGTTCTGTAACCATCCCTACGTAGTTATTGGTCACTCTGGCTGTTAGCTGTTCTGTAACCATCCCTACGTAGTTATTGGTCACTCTGGCTGTTAGCTGTTCTGTAACCATCCCCAGGTAGTTGTTGGTCACTCTGGCTGTTAGCTGTTCTGTAACCATCCCTACGTAGTTATTGGTCACTCTGGCTGTTAGCTGTTCTGTAACCATCCCTACATAGTTATTGGTCACTCTGACTGTTAGCTGTTCTGTAACCATCCCTACATAGTTGTTGGTCACTCTGACTGTTAGCTGTTCTGTAACCATCCCCAGGTAGTTGTTAGTCACTCTGGCTGTTAGCTGTTCTGTAACCATCCCTACATAGTTATTGGTCACTCTGGCTGTTAGCTGTTCTGTAACCATCCCTACGTAGTTATTGGTCACTCTGGCTGTTAGCTGTTCTGTAACCATCCCTACATAGTTGTTAGTCACTCTGGCTGTTAGCTGTTCTGTAACCATCCCTACATAGTTATTAGTCACTCTGGCTGTTAGCTGTTCTGTAACCATCCCTACGTAGTTGTTAGTCACTCTGGCTGTTAGCTGTTCTGTAACCATCCCTACGTAGTTATTGGTCACTCTGGCTGTTAGCTGTTCTGTAACCATCCCTACATAGTTGTTAGTCACTCTGGCTGTTAGCTGTTCTGTAACCATCCCTACGTAGTTATTGGTCACTCTGGCTGTTAGCTGTTCTGTAACCATCCCTACATAGTTATTGGTCACTCTGGCTGTTAGCTGTTCTGTAACCATCCCTACGTAGTTATTGGTCACTCTGGCTGTTAGCTGTTCTGTAACCATCCCTACATAGTTGTTAGTCACTCTGGCTGTTAGCTGTTCTGTAACCATCCCTACGTAGTTGTTAGTCACTCTGGCTGTTAGCTGTTCTGTAACCATCCCTACGTAGTTATTGGTCACTCTGGCTGTTAGCTGTTCTGTAACCATCCCTACGTAGTTATTGGTCACTCTGACTGTTAGCTGTTCTGTAACCATCCCTACATAGTTGTTAGTCACTCTGGCTGTTAGCTGTTCTGTAACCATCCCTACGTAGTTGTTAGTCACTCTGGCTGTTAGCTGTTCTGTAACCATCCCTACGTAGTTATTGATCACTCTGGCTGTTAGCAGTTCTGTAACCATCCCTACATAGTTGTTAGTCACTCTGGCTGTTAGCTGTTCTGTAACCATCCCTACATAGTTATTGGTCACTCTGGCTGTTAGCTGTTCTGTAACCATCCCTACGTAGTTGTTAGTCACTCTGGCTGTTAGCTGTTCTGTAACCATCCCTACGTAGTTATTGGTCACTCTGGCTGTTAGCTGTTCTGTAACCATCCCTACATAGTTGTTAGTCACTCTGGCTGTTAGCTGTTCTGTAACCATCCCTCCGTAGTTATTGGTCACTCTGGCTGTTAGCTGTTCTGTAACCATCCCTACATAGTTATTGGTCACTCTGGCTGTTAGCTGTTCTGTAACCATCCCTACGTAGTTATTGGTCACTCTGGCTGTTAGCTGTTCTGTAACCATCCCTACATAGTTATTGGTCACTCTGGCTGTTAGCTGTTCTGTAACCATCCCTACGTAATTATTGGTCACTCTGGCTGTCCGTGGTTCTGCCTCCATGTCGTCTAAATTCTTCTTAATTTGTTCATTCCCATTTGACCTGATTGACTGATTTTCTACCCCACTAGGAGATCACACAAGCGATAAACACCTCATGACACAAAGTGCCACCGTGTGGATGAGGATCGCCGTGGAGAGGTCCAAAAAACCGCGTTCAGACAATTGGCCATATTTATGGCCTGCCTATATTGCGGCACCTGGCAAAAGCCAGGGTGGGGCTTCAAATAACAAAAAATTTCGTCCTAAAAAAGAAGAAATAGGCAAGTGTTTTTCCCACTTGAAGATCATTGGCCATATAACAGTCCTGGCTCAGCATTACATTTCAGTACTCTTTTTCTGGTGTTTTATTAGAGAGTCAGTTTCTTAAAATATTTTCACCTCTTGAAAAGCCACCGTCACCTGGCATATTCAGCCTTTCGTCTTTGTCGCATTGGATGTTATACTTGTCTCCAAATTTTGCAGCTTGTTGAACTTTGCCTTTTGTTCTATTTTCACATTTTGGTGTTCGTTCATTTCTTCGGTGACCTCTGTAGAGCACTTTTATACCAAGAGATCGGCAACTGTTATAGAAATCATAGTTTCAAATCTAAATTATTCTTTCATGACATTCTTTATATGTTCTTTTCCTCTTGTGAGATCTACCGTTTTGCTTCTTTCTATACCCCCTGTCAACGATAGTAGCTACAGGGAAATTTGGCACCTCGCACCAGCCACTCGTGAATTGAGCTGGACAAACTGTTATTTCCGCATGTAATGTTCCCACTACTGGCTAGGCTCGCCAGGATTCCTCGTATAGATTTATCCAATGGAGAGCCCTGGGTACAGACCGAAAATAGAAAACATTATTTGCCAAGTAACAGAAACAATTATCTTCTAGCCGGATTTTGTTCTCATTATCTCCCCCTGACGACCCGAGAATCTACCGGACATCCTGGTTATGTGATTAGAAGGCTCGCGGTTGTACATTTACTATTCAAAACCCAACAGGTCACTGGTTCAGTAGTATATATTTCTTTCATTGTTAAGTCTCGCCGTCCATCCCTTGTGGAGTGTATATGCATTCAATAATTTGCTGTCTCTAAAATGATGGTCGGTTGCAATGGACCTTTTTCAAGTTCCGCAATTTATGCTAACTCTCTGAGGCTCCTGTTTGTCATCTCTTTATGTTTTCCTCCAATTTGTGTATCTCTATTGCCAATTTGACATTTTTCTTTATAGAAACCCGTGTATTTTAATATTGCTGAAAATTTCACTTATTTCGTCTGTGTGTTTATCAACCACTCTTTTTAACTCTAACCTTTTCAGAACTTCTATAATAGATATCAAGTTTCTGTCCAGCCATCGAGCCCTTGTTACCGAGTGTCTGTTACTTTGGCTCTAGTACTGGCCGAGCTCCAAGTTCCAGTATTTTTGCAAACATTTTTCCAGTCTGGCTCCAGATGGAGATGCCCCTGTTTGTTTCACAGTGTCTTTTGTCCCCTTTATTCTTCCAGATGGGGACAATGATTGCTCTCTGCCAGTCACTTGGACCTTTTCCTGTCTCCCAAGCTGTGTTAAAGATTCTGGTTAACCAAACTGTTGCTGTTGTCTTGCATGCAAAGAGCGTTTCTGTTGTAATACCATCTATTCCAGCTACCATGTTCTTTTTACTTTGTTTAAGGGCATTTTCAACTTCAGATTCCAGCATGTTTTGCAAATTTACTTTGGTTTGGTACTTCATCAGGAGTTCCACAGTTTACTGGTGAGTTGTTTCTTAATCTGGTGATATTAACTGTGGAGGGGTTCACCTTTTCTTCTCCCAGTCTCATTGCATTGACACTTCTGTAACACTGTCTTGACGAAACAGTGCATAATTTTGCTCCTTGTTCTCCATAGTCTGCCAAAGATTTTGATTTTGCCGTTGTTACTTTCCTTTGGCTGTCTTTTCTCGGTTTTCTAAAGCTTATGTAGTCTTGATCTGATTTTGTCTTCTGTCACTTATAAGAAAATTGTTTCCCTTTCCTGGATAGAAATGTTAACATCTTCATTTCACAACGTTGTATGTTTTCTATGAGTGCCCAGGTTTTTGAGACCACAGTTTTCTTTCACTGTGTTCAGGATGCAGGTTTTAACAGTCATCCACTCGTCTTCTATGTTGTTTGCTTATATAAGGGTGTTAAAGGAGATTCTGACTGCTCTATCGATTTCCTCCACAACTTCGTTATCTTTTAGTTTCACAATGTATAAATAATCAAGTGGTGTTCTGCACAAAGATTCAGCAGTTGTTCTCCGTTAGAATTACATTCAGGTGTTGATATATACATACATATATATGGTGCCTCACAAGTCTGTCTGCAGTGACGTAATTTTTTTAACGCGTTAGCTACACGGCTATTATTGGATGCACTATACAAACACACACACACACATATATACATGTGTGTGTGTGTGTGTGTGATAGTGATAATATACTTTTTTTTGCAGTCGGACGAATTTTTTCAAACTGACCACCACTATGTAATAATATCGTTCATTCAATCATTCATTTATTCAATCACTCATTCATTGTGTTAGTGAATCAACACAATGTTACCATTGTTCTAATATAATTACAAATCTGTTAAAACCGAAATGAAAGCTTTTCATGCAACTTCTAGTGGCAGAAATTTGCAACATCTTTTACAGAAAAATAGGATTTTCATTAATACATTTCGCACGAAAGTTTCACGGTTTGCAGAATAAACAGAGGCCTTGTGATATATTTCAACGAATGTTAATTTTGTAAAGACAAATTAATAGTAATTTCACTTTCATATTTACTGTGATATTTTTACATTTGATTTCCAGGTTTATAGGAATTGTCTTTCCCTTGAAAGTCAATGAACTTTGCACCAGGAAAAAGACCATAATCTCCATCATCATCATTTGGACAGTGTCCATCTTCTGTGGCTTGCCCGTGGCCATCTTCAACCAGACAGTCCCAACAGCACCAAATATCAAACACTGTCTGACAGTGTTTCCAGACAACAACCTTTCGCAGTTGTACATTATCTACAAGTACTCAGAGTCCGTCTTGTTTTATTATCTTCCCATGGTCATTCAGATCATCCTGTATTCCATCATCGCAAAGCGGCTCTACGCCAGCAATGACGAGCTCAGTAATCAGTTCAAAATGAGATCAACTTGCAACCGTCGCTATGATTCCATCAGCGATACCATGAAGGCTCGCCGCGGAGTCGTAAAGATGTTGATTGCCAGCGTACTTCTATACTTCATCAGCTATTCCCCGATACAAGTGCACATCATCTACAGTACATTTGCTCGTTCCTCCTTTCTAGAGAGCTGGGACTTTTTCGTCTTTGTGATGATCGTAACCCATACCAACTCTGCAGCGAACCCACTTCTATATGCCATTTTCAGCCAGAACTTTAGGCGCCATTTCATCCGCTGTTTGTGCTCGTGCTGTTCACGTCATCAATACGCCAGAACGAGGCTGGACTCTCAAGATTCCCGCCATATATCCACGCGCTCGTCTACAACCAGTAAAACTTATGTATCCAGACTTTGACTGTCTGTATATCTCTCTGTCTGTCTATCTGTCCGTCTCTGTATCTGCCTTTCTACTTCTATAGGAAATTTTCCCTTACATAGAACACACATCTCATTTAGTAGGTAAATGACCGTGTGAGACATAAAGAGTGACGCAAACCTAGCTTGTTTTTCGTCCTCTTCTTCTTTCTTTTTCTTTTTATTTGTTCTTTCTTTTATCTCAGATTAAACCTCAAGTAACCCACACCAAACCATACCATCTTGGACTCTCTTCTGCGACTTCCTGAAGATCATCTCCAAATGATCAATGTCTCCGTATCCCTTTTGTCCTGTGGGTTCTAGATGATTGTTTTCTGAGTATTCTATCAACAAGCTCTCTCAACAGTCTCTGAGAGTTGATTATTTCTTTCAGTAATTTACTTATAGATGTTTCTGGCACACACCCTTCAAGCGATGCACTGGCACCTGATTGTGAAAGATGAGTTCATATTTATTACCTATTCACAATGCGAGCTCCAGTGGGTTAGCGGCTGGAAGCTCGCCTTCGGCTCTTAAGGTCGTTGGTTTAAATATTGAACACATCACTCACCAAATGCCGATTGATCTATACAGTATTTTTATTAAAATTAGTTGCGTATCCTTTACATGATGTTGCAGAACTTACTTTCTGGCTGTTGTGGTTTTTCTAGGCAAATTTACATCCAGTAGTTTGCCATTGCCTTCTGGACGGTCGGCTCTCGGTACCAGGGTCGAAACCATCGCAAAACAAACCGTCCGCAGCAGGGATCGAACCCGGCATCCCCACATTACGAAGCGCGTTCACTACGCCTGGGCCACAGACGCAGTCTAGCTCTAGTAATATACAAATGCGCACGAGGGCGTGGGAAAACAGTTCTTGACTTTTACTTTGACTGATTCATAACATTGAATGTTTATGTAATAGCCATCTAGACGTCACGTGCAGGTTATTCAATGATACAGAAATAATAAATTGTTATCTCGTACAGAAAGTCTCAAAAGTTTCTTGCTGCAGTGTTCTGTCTTTTCTAGGTTTTATTGACATTTCCTGTGTACAGTTAGACCATTCAAGCATGTATTGCATGGTTTTAGGTCCGACGGTCTTCGACTCGAGTCGTCGTCTCGTTGGATGTCTGTAAAAATGATCTAGGCCTCCAGGTAGAAACATTATAAAGGTCAAGCATGGGAAGTTAGAGAGGCCGGGGTCATGTAGATCACATGACCAACGAGTGACGATGGTCATGCTGTCTCTATGATATATGAAGTTTAGTCATGCTGTCTCTATGATATATGAAGTTTAGTCATGCTGTCTCTATGATATATGAAGTTCAGCCATGCTGTCTCTATGATATATGAAGTTCAGCCATACTGTCTCTATGATATATGAAGTTCAGCCATACTGTCTCTATGATATATGAAGTTTAGTCATGCTGTCTCTATGATATATGAAGTTTACCTATGCTGTCTCTATGATAGATGAAGTTCAGCCATGCTGTCTCTATGATATATGAAGTTCAGCCATGCTGTCTCTATGATATATGAAGTTCAGCCATACTGTCTCTATGATATATGAAGTTCAGCCATACTGTCTCTATGATATATGAAGTTTAGTCATGCTGTCTCTATGATATATGAAGTTTACCTATGCTGTCTCTATGATAGATGAAGTTCAGCCATGCTGTCTCTATGATATATGAAGTTCAGCCATGCTGTCTCTATGATATATTAAGTTCAGCCATACTGTCTCTATGATATATGAAGTTCAGCCATACTATCTCTATGATATATGAAGTTCAGCCATACTGTCTCTATGATATATGAAGTTCAGCCATGCTGTCTCTATGGTGGTGTGTGTCTGGGGGGGGGGGGGGTGTCCATGCAGCATCAACATGGCATCCTAAGGGCCCGTTAGCCATGTACCGGACGTCGAACTAACGTAGATGGGCCGGCTGTGGCTTTGTTTGTCTGATTGCTAGTGAATCGTTTTTCTCCTTGAGCGTTGACTGTGAAAGTGTCATATGTGGAATAGATGTAGGGGACAGCTGCTCCATACATGACCAAACAATTTCCTGATTCGCGACAAGTACGTGTTGTCTCACACTGTTTCAACTTACGACCAGTATTTCTAACCCAGATTCACTTCTCGACCTATTAACTCTCACATCTATAGCATAACAAGAAAACTCTTAGTCACATACAGTGCCTCAGAATGTCAGACGTCATTTTGATTGTTGTTTTAAAGCCACACCTTGGCTCTTACCGGGTCCCTGATATAACTCAACCTTTGAATTGAACGTGGCTTATAGGACATGTCCCGGGAGATCCTCATCCGAATAGTGGCACTTTGTGTCACCGGTTTTTTTAAATATGATGATTTAGTTTAAAATGGTTTGAACTGCAATCTTGTAGAAGTCTAGCGATGATTTCCTCTCACACAACGCCTACGATTCTGTTTTAACAGCTCCCACTGCTTACCTCCCTAGATTGCTTACATTGCTTGCCTCCCCTACAATGATCAAATCCAGCACTGATGTAGGAAGACAATCACACTTGGTCAACCCTCAGTTGTCAACCATTGCCCATTTAGACTAAGAGCAGACGGACAGACCACTTGAACAAACCCTTCTGTAGTTTTCCTATTTTGGCAAAACCATTCAGTCTCATAAAAACATACCAGCGCTGGCATCGTGTACCCGATCGACGCCCGGGATTGTGGATTAAGAGATCTTCCGGTCAGTGCTAAATTCGTTACGTTATGAATATCACAATGACAGTTGGGCAGCTTGAAAATACAAGTATAATTACCAACATAAATTATTTTGGGTCTGACCTTCGTATTCCAACGTATTCATCTGTTGGATTTATTGGAATAACGTAAAGTAACTTTAGGAAGAGAAGTGGGACAAAGTGGCTCAATATTTATATATGTATATATATATATATATATATATATATATATATATATATATATATATATATATATATATATATTAGGGCTGTACCGAATAGTGATTTTCACTATTCGGCCGAATACGAATAGTGGGACCAACTATTCTGCCGAATACGAATACGAATAGTGAATTATCATCATCATCAGGTGACTTGCCGACTGGCGTGTGCTATCATGCCTCTCCACAATCTGCTATCTCCTGCAGCATGTATCAGTTCGTGTGCTGACACACCTCCATGCCTTGCAACAAGACTGTCAAGAATCTTCTATCGTTGTCTTCCTCTATACCTCATTTACAGATGCATGCGTGCGTGCGTGCGTGCGTGCGTGCGTGCGTGTGTGTGTGTGTGTGTGTGTATGTATGTAGGTAGGTATGTATGTATGTACGTATGTATGTATGTAGGTAGGTAGGTGGGTAGGTAGGTAGGTAAGTACGTACGTACGTACACGGAAATACTTACACAACTACACACACACATATCTCTAATATAAATACATACATACACACGTACGTACGTATGTATGTATTTATATTAGAGATATGTGTGTGTGTAGTTGTGTAAGTATTTTCCAGACCATGCTTTAGCTTTTTGTAGTTTGTACACATATTATGTCAATGTCAAAAGATTGCATGATACGTAAAATACAATCATCGTCTTTCAGACGCGTGGTTGTAAAGGCTTCGTCTAAGACGGACCAGTGTCCAATTTGTAACTCCTTGAGTATAAAGCTCGTTTGTTGGTTCACTAGTGGCTAGTGTAGATGTAGACGAGGGGAAACTATCCATCCGGAGAGTGGATCATTCGTAGATAATAGATGATCAGAAAGAACCGCGGAGCGTGTAATGTAGATTTGTAGACTAGTTTCAGAAACTACAGGAAACCTTCACTTGTGTGTAACATTGCGAGGAATGTAGTTTACACCAGATTTGGTACAAGTCATTGAATTATTGTGTTATGAACAACAAGCAGCTGTCAGACTAGCTGCGTATCATATTTCAGAATTTAGATACACGGAGATACTCTTCTTATCACAATTAATGCCAAGGACTAGAAAACTTAGTGTTGTTAAAAAGATGCCGCGAACAGACTGTAACATCAAAGAAGGACAGAGATAGATCGCGTTGAATATAGACTGTAAGCGATATTAAGGTAGTTCTGTCTTAAGGATGTGAACGCATTTTCATACTTACGACATACCAGCGTTCATAAATAGTTGCAGGCGATTTGATTACAGACAATTTACTTTGACTTTGATAATGGAATGAATAAAATGTCCTTTACCATACATTCAGGCATGTATGGCTAGACCTATATTTTATAGACCAATCATCATTCGGTGGGTGATGTCAACATGCTGCTTTTACATCCCAGGACCTTCGCTGGTACTCATTCAAGGCTGGGTTGACCAGGGAGCCAAGGTCATTTTTGAAAAAAAAAAGTCCGGCTCAGTTCTAATTCAAAACCACGAATTTGCACCAGATGGAGGAAAAGAACGTCCTTTACTGCGGGAACTTCAACGCCAGAGGCAGCCAATGGGGCAATGTAAGCACAAATAAAAAGGGAGAAGACCCAAAGGATGCCATGGTGTCTGCCAATCTAGTGTGTTTGAATGACGGAAAGTTTACAAGAATGGGAACACAGCGAGAGATTCTGACAGTGCTACACAAATTGAACGACTTTAAAAGTGGCAAAATCAAGCCATGAATTTTAGTTTAGGATGTACAAGAAACACTTCCTGTGCTGCAGTGAGATACCTACTCGACTTTCCAACCTAGGGCCAAAGGATCAGGATCTGGAGGGCTCAGGAATACCTTAAAATATTGGCTGATAAGTAACACTGATGGAAAACACCCACTGCATCATACGCTTTTCAGTGAAAAGGGCGCCGGTCTTAACAGGGCTCAAATTAAATTTAGTGATTATACTGTGTAAAAGTACAGAGACAGATTTTAAAAAAACCGAATAGGCCAATAACATTAGACGTAAACGATAACATCTAGTAACAATAGGGTGATGGGTGGGGTGATGGGTGGGTTGATGGGTGTGGTG